TTTTTTCCTCTGTTAGAAATCGAGAAAACGAAAATGTTCATGCTTTGCCGAAGTGATGCTGCGTCGTCCCCACATAAGTAGATGTGTACTACAAATCTGTAGAAGTACAAACGTAAATTTTCAGCTCTCTACAAGCTTTAATTCTCGAGAAATATCGAATATAGCTTTCATCATTCAGGTGGTCCAAACTAAAATTCAAATTTCTCGATAACTAACGCTTGTAAAAGCTGAAAATCCAAGTTTGTACTTCTACAAATTTGTAGTATACATCTACTTATGTGGGGACGACACAGCATCACTTTTGCAAAAGCATGAAAATTTTCGTTTTTTCGATTTTTAACGGAGGAAAAAATATGGCAAAGGCGTACATATATGTGTCTTATGGGTGTAATGTTTAATGAGCAAGTTAGAATTTTTGTAGAATTCTTATGAACTGAATTATGATTTTTCTTTTTTCGGGCAATTGAATCTTTTTAGTTTTTGGCTCGAAACTCGAGGTGGATCAGAGCACTTGCTAAAGCAAGGATGCATTCTGCAGAGCTTGATTTGCTCTATCAAACGGTACCTTGAAAGCCATTTAGGAATGAAAAGTGTATGACTTGTTGCCGTTGAAATTCAAAACGGACATTAATTTTCGGACAACCTAATACTACTTTACCGTTGGAGGATTATGTAGATTTCACTTATGTTAGTTACTCAGAGAGATACGAAATTTGGCTGTGATGTTTCCTCTGGCAAAACGTTTCAGGGCTCGAACTACGTGTTCCTCATCCTTGCTCGTTTTTTTTTCAAATACAACTTGCGAAAACTTCCCGTCCTTTCAGTGGCATTATGAGCCGCGTCATCAAACCCCTTGCAACTAAACTTCTTCTCACATCTAGGACGTAGCAGCTATCTTCACAAAGAATAAAGCAGTAGCGTCACTTGCCGACTACAGACATCCGAGTAATTATACTCGCATCATCCTTCATCTATTAATTGAGCCATAGCTCCGTGACAGACTTTGTTCTTCGCGTCACTGAGATCAGTGGTTTCGTCAATCACTTCAACATTTATTTTAGATCAAGAGCTAATTGATACTCTAACTATGCTTATTGTTAGACTAAACCCCCGTTGATTTTTTGTGAGTGATGAATAAGGTGTTGAATGCTTGAGATGCTTTGAATCATCCAAAAAAAGACAATCTACGTATTCGCACTAGTTGAACATTTGATTCAGAAATAAACCGTAGTCTGAAAGCATATAAGGTCAATTACTGTTTGAATTGGCTTTCAGAATTATTGCGAATTCCTGCCTCCTCTTAACTGGCCACGTCTGAATGATTCTCTTGAAACGAATTTTCGAACTCAAAAAAAAACTTTCATCTTTCGGAAAGCTATTTGGCAAGCGACTGATGGTTAGCCGTTACATCTCGAACATCATTATTATTTACCACTTGTTTTTTTTTGCTTCAAACATGAAAATGCAAAAAACACATTGATAGAGGAATTTTATTTCTAATCTTGAAGACAAATTATTGGCTTGAAATTTTCGAATTCTTATCCCAGTCGGAATTTCCTCACACTTGTTCCCAGCGAGCCGTTATGGTACATCCCTTTTTACCGCATGCTCAACAACCAGCAAAATATTCATCAAAATATGGCTATGTCTTAGCAGCACTTCGTTTACGTGATGAGGATTTGTATGACAATAGCTTATTGTTAGCAACTACCCGCTGTATTTAGCTTTAACTTGAGTGAAATAACCTATATTTTTAACATTTGGAGTTGAAAATGATACTTGATTTTTGGGGGGTCCGAACAAATACTATATGACGCCTACTTCTTCTTCTGAGCTTTCATGTCCGCAGCATGTATCGTCGATTCGTTGACCGCACGGACTGGAAACCGCCGCGGAGCACGCGCCGGCCATAGTACAAACCGTGCTCTCGCAACATTTTAGCCGCGCCGCGCGTGGTCCGTAGCGCTGGAGCAGTCCGTACGGTCAATGAATCGACGATACATTCATACTTTTCCATAATTTCTTATTGGGCGTCACGTTATTCTGATTTTTAGCGGCACTATATAGTTCTATTGATAAAAAAGAGTATAAGAAAATTATATCGCATTTAGTTAGTTTATTGGACTATAGGAGCTGGTCACAGGACAACAAACTTGGTATTGGGGTTAAAAATAATGTTTTGATCAAAAAGCAAGAAGCCGAAGAATAGTGCTTTCTTAAATTTCGTTCTTATTTCCTCAACGGAGCTTTATTCAGCTTGAAAGCAGCGTCCATCCAAAATTTCCCCTTCTATATTTTTGCCATTCTGGGGCCTTTTCGTGGCATTGATTACAGTTATATTCAAAATGTGCAAAATCCTCCAAAAAACCCTATTTGTGGGACCTACCATGAAAACCCAAGCAGCTTTTACTATCTGGATGGGCATGGCTTGATAGTACTTTCGCAGTTCCAGGCCCAAGACTGAAGAGAAGAGCCGGATCAAAGCAGATGTCCCTCTCTTGGGGCATGTACTCAGAATAGTTACTGATCGCATAGGGGAGTTTGCCTGGGCGCTGCCTTTAAATCCAATTATTTTATAGCGAGAAGTCAGAGAAGTAAAAGCTTGTTGCAGCAGTTGCTGTAAGTGACATTCCCACTGAAAGAGGCTTTTTAGCGTTTTTCCAAGGGATAAAGTAATAAACTCTGTTCCAGAAAACGTCGTTCCTTTAATTGCTATCCAGCTTGCTTTCTTTCGTGCTAAACTATGAGTAGAGATTTCCACTGCTTATGAGAACATCTCTACAATGACAAATGCGCAGAATCTGCTTGTTATTTTAGACCGCTGCATCCAAAGATAGAGCTCTCAGCCTCCTTTGTCCCTCAAGTCCTCGCAAAAGATTCAGTTTTTGTTTTTTTTTTAAATTTTTTTTTATTTTTTTAAAGATTTTTGTTTTCATGACTTGTAAGCTTGCTGACGTTTGGCAGATTCCGCGCTTCGTAACTGGGATGACCCCACATAGTTTCTCTTCGACTGATCTTTCTATATAAGAACTGCTAGAACGTTCCTTTGCATCATTACTGTGGAAGAAAATCGCCAATCTATTCTTGATTGTAAACATACATAGTAGTAATTGCTCTAGCACACAAAAAATAAACTTTGTTTGAACTGTGGGCCTGATATACATTGTCTTAGAAGAAAATTTATATTACTCAAACAACTCAAAAAACCAGATGTATGCCAAGAATTAACCTTTACCTTAATGTCCACGCAGGATTATTAAGCTTGATGAGTTATTGCTACATTCTGACGAATCCTTTGAGAAGATGAGTAATTTCATGCCTGAAGTGTATCAAATGCCCTTGACGAACACGCTCATTAGTTCACTCTTACCTTTAAGAGCTTTTGCTCTAATTGATTTCGTAAGAAAGGTCACTTCCTTTTGGTTTGCTTGTTCGACCATAAATTACCTAATACTTTTTTTGAGTTAGCTTTGAAGAAGTGTTTTCTAGATGGAACAGCTCATCAAGTATGGCTGGGATGCAGAGAGAATACCAAGTTATGACTGCTGGTGAGTGTGATTTGTGTATGCTATGCTATGTTCTTAACTTTTGCAGCCCGTGGTTTGGAGATCGAAAATTCATTAGGTTGACTAATAATTAAGTTTGGTTTGACTTGCATCTTTAAAATCCCATAAAAATTCGAGTGCTACCCATTCTGCTAAAATTTTTGCAAGAAGGTAGCTTCAAGCCTCTATAAATACCAAGTTGTCTAAATTTTTTGTTACCAAAATGACAGTTATGCCCTTATATGATCGAACCTCCAAACGCTTCAATTTCTAAGTATCGTTCTCAACCTATAGTGGATACACGGATGACTTATTTGATGGTTAAATATGTACAACTTTTGGCTACATGGCGAGCTACAATGAAGATTGTGAGCCGATGTTTGTGAATTTCTGCAGCGAAAAATGGAAGAATTCCCAGGCATTTGCGCGTGAGGTCTTTCAAGAGTGCAGCATAGCTGGAATGATTATCAATGGTCGTGCAAAGTATTGAACATTTCAAAATTTGTTGTGTGGATGCCAGTTGTGCATTTTGCACTGAATTTCAAATCGTTTTTCATAGCATGATTTTCGGAAATTTGATGAAAAAATTCAATTATTCCAATTTCTTGCACAATTTCGTTGTCAAAATAATGACTGGCGTTCAAGGAGAGTTAACCATCCGATTCTTCTTGATTTGCGCTTTTCAACGATACCATACATTCTTACATAAATCAGTTTGTAAATTTGCTACAAGCCGTTAAAAACGACCAAACTTATTTTTTAGCCAATATTAATTAATATATGCGGTGAATTGATCACTGAACGCGAATTTAGTCTTTCCTAACGTTGAAAGTATGTTAGAAGGTTTTAACGTACCTTATTAAGCCTTGTATCGCTTGGCCTGTCATTGATTAGAAACTTGTCATAGCCAGCAAATTGTTTGTGTTCTTGTATAATAGAAAGAAAAAAAACAACGTGTTCCGTTATACTCCGTTTCATTCCTTCCCCAGGCAAGTTTTGTAGTTTTTAGGCCCTCTCAGGAACTCTTCTCAGTAAGAAGAGAGGGTCTATGGTTTTTGAATTGGTTTTTGAAGATCAAATTGTACTACTTGTCATGTCTGAGATGATTTCGCTTGTAAGTCCAACAGGTTTTCTCATATAGTTACTCACGTCTGGCAGAAAATAAGAAGTATGAGCCGGTTTTTTTTTTCGAGCCCATGAACAATCTCTATGACAATTGAGCAGGTGGCTATGTACAACTATCAAATCGCGGCATTTACAGGAATTCTACGAGGCAATATGGTCACACAAACCATCTTCTAGGCATTCCGTCATTTACGGATTGAGCGCGGAGGTTGGAAACTCACCAAATCTCACGTTATTCTGAATTATTCTGAATCATTACAGTTTCTCTACACCATTGCATTACTAATCTTGACGAGAAAAGAGCAGCGTCGGTTGTCTTGCTATAAAATTATGATTTCACTAGGTTGGTGACTGAAAATTAAATTCCAAACATATGAAGCTTATAGTGAAGTTCCAGGCGCTTATGATATGGTAGCTATTTCCATCAACTCTATTGCATCGGGTTATCTATGGTTGTCTGGCGCTAATTACTGCACAGATCCGACCACTATATATGCGTTAGGATGTCTTGGTGTAGGTACGTTATTTCAGGAAGTTTAATGTTCTAAGCGAGGGCCGCCTTCATTTGTGTGGTTATGCATGTTTCTCACAAAGGAGTAGTCAGAATTTGAAGTGGTCAAAAACAAGCCGCACACCATTAGATGCAATATAACACCCTGACTTCGAATCTGTATTTCGTGTGTGCTTAGCGTTTTGTGGGCGAAGTTATGAGCCTTTGAAGGCCGTTACTCTGCAAGAAATTGTGCATGCAAAGCGCAAATTTAGTAGCACAAAGCCATGTTTAGCTCAATGCTGGGGCAAAACATGCACCTAAGTTGCTTTACATTCTTAAAGCCTAAGGGGCTGAGAGTGCGATGCTCATTTTCGCAATTTTTATGTACGACAGTGAAACTGCTCAAAACTTCGTCCAGAAGGTGCTAAGCAGATGGAAAATGCACACGCACATTCATCGTTGAATGGTACATCGACTGTAGACAATTGCTTGGATTGGCCACTTCGACTTCTGACCAATCTCTTGTCAGTTACCAGGAAAAACTCAGTATCAAGATCTTGAAAATTCTTAGTTCGCGCTTCAGTGCAGAGTCAGAATAGATTTACAGCATGTGTCACGTGCCACATTCATTCTACTCGAACCATTTTCACTTCATCCTATCGTTATTGGTCAAATCAGTGGACTGACGATAGAAGTGGAATAGAAGAATAAAGAATAATAATCCAATAGAAGTGGATGTAATAGGTCAAGTGGATTAAACGGACATCCGCTTCGCTACTGGTCCTTTTACTGACTTGGCCAGCGGCAAAGTTTATGAAGTGGATCAAGCGTATCAAGTGGATTGAGTGTAGCGCGTGCATACCTTTCCATAATGCAAATCTTCCAAGTGCAAAATCTTTCAATGAGATTACTCAGGACATTAGTGCCAGACAACAGCCATTTATCTCATTATATTGGGTTGTTCAAAAAGTTTTGCCAGTTCTTCTTACAAATACCACTGCAATACGAACTCAAGCAGTTGACCTGATATGTGTTCTTGGTGTGCGATGGCACCAACCATCAAATACGCCATTCTTGGAAAAACAACTACGAAATGACACTTCGGGAAGGGACAGCGATCCGCTGCACTAAAATCTGCGAAAAGGTAAATTTTTCAGATTGATTCTTGGAGAAGAGTATTCGCGATATAACTAATCATAGTCTGAGCTGGTACACACCAGAATATCATTGGTTGAAAAACACTCCAAGAAAATCTAGATAGAACAAATTAGCTTAACAATTACCTTTATTGGCAAAACTTTTCAAATAGCTCAATATTCTGAAGTTTTTGCTATTTCAAACCCTTATCATTAAAAAGATAAATCCGCAGTCAAAGTTTTCTTATATCGTGCCAAAACGAATCTACATTCATGGCTCCGATAAAGAATAAACTTGTGATCATGTTGCATCGACCGTTTTCCTCCTTGCCATAATTCTTCTATGTAGTGAAAAAAGTTTCAAATTCTATGATAATTGCCTCAAATGTCATACTTGTGTCCAAATTTCTGCATTCTTAGGTTTCTGGTGCGGAGCATGTCTGAATTGTTTCGTTCTTGTAATAAATCGGTTACTTGAAGTATCGAACAAGCATTGGTTGCACATGGTAAGTTTGATTCTTGCGATTTAGTCATTGAAATCCAAAACATCATTTAGATTTACGGAGGTAATCGAACATATATTGTTCTCCTTTTACCCTTTATCTATAGCGTATACTTCTGTTTCTTTACACCTCCTGTCCTTTTCAACTCTGATCATATGGCATGGTTTTTCTTCACATATGCGCCCGGTTATGACTCTAATCAGGTGCGTGTCGTCTTGATTTTCTGAGTCTTCGATTACAATCCTAATAGGGTGTAAGCTTTCCTTATTTAGTACTACAGCGTCCCACACACTATCAACAATTTGCTTGTTGTGATGATAACGTGCTTACTTTATGTACCCTACTCTCGAGTTCTACTATCGCTTTCAAAGTCCGCAACGCGGCTATCATGGGCCCAAAAATCAGTAAGTTTTGCAACATGGTCACGCTTCCAGAAACAACTTTTTTTAGTTCTTTATTCAATGTATACTAATTTGTACTGCGAACCTTGTAGCGGCGTTGATTTATGTCTATATGCAATTTTTCAATACAGCTTCATACTTTGTGCTTATCGGACATATCTGCTGGCAACTAGGACACGGTAAAAAATTTTTAGTTTCATTTTGTCAATATTTTTTAGTCCAAAAAATCCTTCTATTTGCTGTAAAGGTTCAAGATCATTTTCAGGTTTTCCAGCAATCGTTTACCTTGTTTTCAACAGAACTATCCAAAGAGAAGCTCTAGAATTGCTGAGACTACGGAAGCCAATAAAGCGGACGCAAATTACTCCAGTCTCAAAATCTTCGAAGCAGAGTAACGGTTCATTGCGTGAAGGGCTCTAGGTTTGCAATATTATTATTATTAGGTTGTTGCAAAAATAATGTCCGTTTTTCTAAACCTATATTAAAAACAACTTTTTCCCCATCAGACTTTCTTTTTCGATATAGCATCTGCATATCATTGGAAAGCTCTCTTTATGTACTTTCTCACGGCGGTGAAATTGAGCTGCTATCCTCACTTGTGAGAATTTCACCAGCATTTTCCATATCCGCACTCAAAATCAGAATCTCATAGCTTCCACTTTCTTGACCACAATTCAGGAGCAAATAAACGAATTCTTCTGAAAACATAGCAAGTGTGTTGAATGAAGATTGTTTACCTACTGCGTGCTTATGTAGATTGTTGGAGAAATGTGGACTGAGAAATTGACGCGTCAAAATAGACACTCGCTGCTGGCATTCTATGGGTCAGAAATTTCTCATAATTAAGGCAATCGCCAAAGCTTCGCCCATTTCTCTAAGCTTGAAATTAGCACACCTTAACCGCTTTATTTGAAGAGAAACTTAGCTATTCAGTGCGCGAAGAATTCCAAATTTTCATAATTAGGCACTTACAAGCCTACAACAAATAGGCTCAAAAGAGTGAACATTTTTGAATTTTTTTTCTTTTCTTTTCGCAGAACTCCTTCGTTGGAGTTTTCTATACACACCTATACTATTGGCCTGCGGCTACAAAATAAGCTAATTAGCAGACATAGGGACAAAGCTTGAAGGGAGTTGTAAGCTCTTGAAGACGAGGTTTTCAAGAGAAAAGCTTTCAGTTTTCTGACGCATGGTTTTCTTCCCGTTTGCGATATCAGTATGGGCAGGGGCGCGCTAAGTTAAGAAAGGTATGATGTTTTTGATGGTCTTGACTGCATTCAAAAATATGGAGACTGAACGAAGTTATAGCCTTCCAAAGTGAAAATTTGCAAAACGGACATTATTTTTGCAACAACCTAATAAAATATATATAGGGTGTCCCAAAAAATGTATCGAACGTTTGATTGTTTATAACTCTTTTATTATGAAGTTCCGAGAAGCGGTAAGCGCTGTCTTGTAGAGCTGGCTTCAACTTAGATTTACAGTATGGAGCGAATCCTCCTTCTTCCTCCGTTACTGTAGGATTACGGTATAAACTTGAAAGAGGGTTTTGGGCCATGAAAGGCCATATTTTGCCTCAGAAAGGAATCAAAACAGCCTGAAAACTTTTACACTAGGCCAATTAGAGTTGCTGGTTCTAATTGTAAAGTTCCCAATTTATTATGATGCTTCATTGAAGAGTTATGCCAGGTAAGAAGTAACTGCCATTTTTTCAATGTTCCTAAAAAGTGCGGTTACACCGTTGAGAAAGCTTCGTAATCTTGTGAATAGTTGAGTATTGAACTCGCGTCCATAAAAACCCCAATACACAAGTTTTCACATTTTTTTCTGAAAAATTTTGAAACGGCAGTTTTTTCCACTTTGACACCATATGTTTCAAGTTTCTACCGTAATCCTACAGTAATGAAGAGAGATAGGTGATTCTTTCTATACTGCAAATCTAAGAAGCCAGCTCTACAAAACGGTACCTGAAGCAAGGCAAAAGAGTTCTTGGGAAGAGAGATATTAGCGATCAAATGTTCGATACATTTTTTTGAGACACCCTGTATATTGGCTGTCTTGGATGCTGTTGCTGTTGTGAACATATCGTTGTACATAATAAAGCGTTTCTTGGACCTGATTTACACAGAAACTGAAATTCAATGTAGATCTCTTATGATATATTGATGCAGAGTCGGATGCAAAACGCACCGGGCGCATTTACAAACAGCTCACAGCGAACTAACGATGTTTTATGGACAAAAAAAGCTAACAAGGGAACCGTGTCGAGTCGAAGTGGCCTTTCCAGATGAGACGCATACTGCTTTAAAGAGCATTAATCACTGATTCCAAATCTGCTTTCCAAATCTGCCAAGCGCCTCTGGACGCCGAGTTGTGCTCGTTTTTCAGGCCAAAAAATTGAACGCAAAACTGAAGCAAAATCGCCCAAATTTGCTCAAATGGTCCAGTGTCAAGTATCAGAGCTGTTTATGCAATGGATACATTTTATTTAATATGCTAATACTTAACATTGCTTTAACTGAGCGCTGGAAAAATTGTAACAATCAATTTTACCCAAATTCTGCATTCATTTTTCGTTTCGAAGAACGGTCATAACTCGGCGTCCAGAGGCGCTTGGCAGATTTGGAAGGCGGATTTGGAATCACCGCTTAATACTCTTCAAAGCAGTATGCGTCTCATTTGGAAAGGCCACTTCGACTCTACGCGGTTCCCTTGTAAGTATGCACTTATGTTTGACTCAGGGACTTGAGTGACTTACAAACATTCCTCTAAGCTAACTTTTGTGATCAGCACTCTTTTGGCAGAAACTGTCGTACAAGCTTTTCTACAGCTATACATACAGTATGACGGTCCATACTAGAACTTTTCAAATTAACGTCAAAGTCTGTGAACCAATAAGGCTAACACCCTCCTGCCAAATAAACGCAAAAAAAATGATTAGTTTTTCCAAGCTATTGCTAAATGACAGTTGAGTGGAGCGTTCCCAGGATACTGTAAAAAGAATAACGTTATTTAAATTTCAAAAGAGTAAGGTGCCACTTGCGGCGGCCTGATTTATCGAGTTGAAAAGTGCCAGACCTGTCCAGTACTCCTTCTTGTAAAGAGTATGTCTTTGTTTTCTGATTTTTTGCAATGATTAGGAGCCAATGTGCTTACAGTTGCCAAATCAAATGGGTTATACTGCTGCAAGAACATTTCAATTTCTATGTCTTCTCTTTGTAAATTTAGGTATCTTTGTGAAACATTTTAGATTTCCTTTCTGCCTCAGACTGATGAGGTGAATTGTTCATTAATCTGGTATCGCGAAAGAATCGTTTTTTTTTGAATGTTTGAAAGGAGAGCTACCTGCTAATACCATACGTTAAAGGTTTCTTCTGACTTGTTTAGAACACGACGTGCTAGCTAGGGGCAAGCCTAAAAAGACAAATTTTTATGCCCCGCAGTAGTCCTCGTTGGTCGAAGACATCACTGGGAGTTGTTCAATATGTTAGACTATTAATAGTGAGCATAATATAATTCGCAGAACTTCAACTAGGATTTGCTTCATCTCCGATTTGCGACAACTCTTGCAGCTTCGAGCTTGGGTGCTGCAGTACTGCGGGATCGCACCTCACTTTTGAGCCGGCGATTGGATGATCTCTTTTACACAAAGCTGAGACAGAGTCAAGGCAGAAGCAGATTGAACATCGATAATAAGTAGTGAACTTAATTTTCTGTATGGTAAACAACGTCATTTGATGCTTCTTCTCAACTATGGCTATCACAAAGCATCGTAGCAGGCATTTACTGGGGAAAACTTAAAGGCAGTTTCCAAGCAAAAAGTCGATTTTGAGAATTTGTGATCACCTGGGCCTATTCGCTATGCTGAATCAAAGATCCACACTGGAAAGCGCAAAAACGGCGAAAAAAGGCTCTAACGCGCTTAAGGAGCGATCTTCTCTATTCCGATTTTATCAAGCGTTTCGCAGTTGGCTGGTGGCGATGTTAGGGTTACTAGCGGAAGCAAGAAGATCGCTCCTGAAGCTGGGAAAGTGACGTCGCAGTGTGAACGGCAGCGCCCAACTGCGATTTCTCCTCCGTTAGAGCCCTTTTTCGCCGTTTTTGCGCTCTCCAGTGTTGATTTTCGGATTCAGCATAGCGAATAGGCCCGGGTAAGCACAAAATCTCAAAATCGACTTTGTGCCTGGACACTGCCTTCAAGCTCAAACCACCTGTCTCCCACTCAAACATGGCATTCTGATAACGAATATGCTCAAAAAATCAAAATGTCTTATTCTTTCGACTAAGAAACATCGTATCAATAAAGACGCATTGTCGAATGAGCAAAGTAAGAGTGGAGAGCTTGGTCTAATGATGAATGCATGTTGGCCTACAAGAATAGACCCATACTCAAAGTTGCTGTTTAGAAGGGCATAATGAAGTTTGAGAAACGCAATGGATTCCACTTTATATAACCGAACAACTCATTTTGAGATTAATTGATACTCAGCCAAAAGAAACCTTCCTTGGCGTGTAATCTCTTCCAGACTTACTCAGACAAATGACAGGAACTTCCGCAGAGCGCTTGCGGAAGTTCCGCCGGGTCACCTGCGGAAGTTCCGTAAAGTGCTGCGGAAGTTCCGAGATGAAGTCCTACGGAAGTTCCGAAGGATGCCAACCACAACAGCAAAAGAGAACACCGGGGCGAGAGTTGAACCTCACTCTGTTGACTGTGAGACCTACCTTCTACCCTCTGCGCTACGGCTGACATGTTCGATAATACACTCTAATTGGTGGCGAGGCAACATCACGAGAGAACACATTCAAAGTCCTGCAGAAGTTCTGGCAGGCCAAAGTGCTGCGAAACCTCTGGCGCTTTTCGGAATTCCCGCAGGATTTTGAAGGTTCTGCGGAAGTTCCGGTTATTAACAGTTTGGCATAAAAATCCTGCGGAAGTTCCGATTTTCAAGGTTTTCTTTTTTGCTATAGTGAGCAAAGTCCTGCGAAACTTCTGCAAATTTGGCTTGTCCTGCGGAAGTTCCAGTGATTTGTCTGGGTACGACATGAACAATTTGGATTCGCGACAGCTCTGAATAATCGCGAGCTTAATTTCGAGCTCAGTCTCATTCCGCAGGCAGATATATATATATATATATATATATATATATATATATATATATATACAGAGACTATACCTTTTAGCAGCCGTTAAATCGCTATAATGCAGTAACTTCAAGGATAACAACTAATATGCAGTTGCCTATAAACCCTCTATTTCAACGGTGGCTGCTGGAAGGCGACCGCTTCCGCGACGCAGTCTGCATCTCTCTCGCAAGCTGCTATCTAACCATTCTCTAGCCTTGAGAGATTCCTGCTTTTTGTATGCGTTGGGCTGTTCAGCCGTTTTAGGGGTAGAGGAGTTACTAAACATTCAGAGCAAACTTGGGATAAATGCCATCGATTAATGATTAATGTAATTTCACGCGTACAAGGTGCGGGAATTTTTTCAATTCGACTACCTCATACGCCACAAGACCAAAAATGACCTTACTATGCGCTGCTTATTGCCTAAAATATATATATATATTGCGACATAAGGATCGCTGTGCGAAGCGAGCGGCTCGCTTGAACAATCGGAAAAAGTGCGCCTTCTACGCGTGAAAGTAGGCATGCCCACTTAACTTCTGAACACCACCTATTTTGGACAACCTAGCAATCAACCTAATAAAAGATCACTCTTACTCGAAACTCTGGAGTCAAACTACAGGTTGTGTGCAAAAATAGGCGATTACGAAAGGCGACTTGGAGAGCGTCCCTCTCGAATATAGTAAACAACTAAGCACGAGCAAAAGCGCAAGTGCACTCATGACAAATGCATCATAAAATAACGAGAGAAATGGAGATTATGCAAACGAACGAGGTGGAGGCTCAAACGAATATAAAAAAACACGGTTATGACGATCGGATTGTATGCGTTCTTCCGCACTTGAACAGATGAAAAGTTCGAGTGGGTCGGGCCGATCAGCACGTAGCTATTCCACTACGCGTTCTCATTTTCAACAATAATTTGTGGTTTCTGATCGACATTGTCATATTTTAGGGAATATTCTTTCAAAGCCTGACTTCTAAAAAACTTGATTTATGCAGTAAATATTTGCTTCCTGTAATGCTGTATCTTTTTTGTTTTTGTTTTTGCTGAATCTGTTTGTTTCATGACAATGAATTTTATGAGTGAGTAGAACAAATTTATCGAAGAAAACTTCATGAAGAAAGGGAATACTTCTGCCAACAGACCCAGCAGTCCCAGCATGTTTTTGTCGTCTCTCTATATGGCGATGTGACCTTTTGCTCAAAAGAGAGCTATGATAATTTGTCATGTTTTGATTACACAGCTGTCATAGAGAGTGTGGATGCATATTCTGACTTCAAAATTCGCCTAATACACTAACATCCTCTTGTTCCTCTCTGTTTTTATATCTCCGGGACTTTACGGTGGATTTGAATGATAAACCGTCTGCATTAATTGCGAAATCTCTTTTCTGGTTATCTCGTAAGGAAAGGCAGCATTAGTTCGTTTATTACTTCCTGATCTCTTACGCAGTTCGATTCGGGTCTCAATTCGTCCCTACAGTCTCATGTAACCATACCAGTCCGCAACAGAACCTGTTTCATTTTTTAGCAGAAGAATTTTCATCAGAATAATCGAAAGCTTAAAAACTTGTCAGTTTCACAGCTTAAAAGTGCATGAAAAGTTTTTGTTCTGCATCAATCTTAATTAGGTATTACACTCAGGATAAATTACTTGTCATGTTTTTCTTTTCTAAGAGGAACTCTGCAGTATAGTGTTGTGAACGTCGACAAGCGGTTATGTCAATTTTCCAGTTAACAAAAATTCCATCGATCCTCATCTGACTCTGTTCCACAGCAAACAGAGACAATGTGACAGTGAAGTTGGAAATTCAGACATGCGTTTTTCAATTTCGACAAATAAAAGCTTTCATTAAAGAAGAATTGTCTCGCTAATTATTCCCGCTAATACTCGCTATTGAACTGTCCGGTCCTTGTTGTACAGTTTGAAATCGGAGCTTGTCATCTTCTTATTGTTAGAGATTAAGTATTATTAGGTTGATGCATAATTCTTGCACCAAAAATAGGAGAAAATTTTTTTAGAAATGCTTGAACAGACTAATAGTTTTACAGAACATGCTTATTGTCACGTATATCAAACGTAGTATTTCAAAGCACATTTTAGAAAATCGATATGAGACAAAATCAAAAGATTAATTTTAAAAAATCGAAACTCGTAATTCTTCGCAGAAACATTCAGTCACTACCAGCTTCTCTTTTTTAAAAAGAGTGTGTTATAAAACTAAGAGCAAAAATCAATTCAAAAATTTTATAGACGCTTTAGCAATTTTATTACCAAAAATAAAAAAATCACTTTTTGGGCATTTCTCTAAATCGCTTTACATCGTTGTCATGTACCCTCAAGGAATGTTGATCCGAGCACCTTTGAAAAGCACAAAATTTTCTCTCTCTTTCAATTAGGTTTTAAAGCAAAAATTCCATTGAAGCTACATGAAGCTCAAAATTTTTGGTGCAAGAGTTACAAATCAACCTAATAGTTAAAAAGTAATTTGTTGGGAGAGCTATAATGAATTCACTTTTCATATAAAGAAATTATCGAAGCTACCTCAGTGAGATAAAAGCATACCTTCACAATTTTTATGAAATCTTTGACATTCGCTCATCGCTTCAGCGAATTGCACAAATAAGTATTAGATTGTTGAACTGAAAAGGAATAACAAAGAAAGCCGTTTCTATTTTTTCATATTCTTTCCATCCCGTTTTTTGCTTCTAATACTCTTGCCTTTTGTGATGTCATTTACCCAAAAATAAATGCACCACCTTACTCATCAATCATTAGAGTATTGTTGAGCAAATAAAGGCTTTAAAGGCACCGTCCACCCTAAGTTAAGGGTATTCAGCTTTTGGCAGCATATAACAGTAGGGCCTCCTATCAAGCCAATGCCCAACTCGCGGCCCAAAATGCCGCTTCCGAAGCGAGAAAATTGCTTCGGAATAGCGAGGATGCACGTGGACCTCCATCCATGCCCGCCCCTCCCCATCCATGCCCGCCCATTTGTGCGCGCTCATCCAATCACCGTTCTGGAAAGCCGGCCTGTGGGTTCTCCGGAATGGGGATTTTCGGGATTTTCGCGGATTCTCAACTTCATATTTGGAATCAGGGACATGACAAGGCTATGAAAGAACAAAAACCTGGAAGTCGAGAATCTGGGTGGACGGTGCCTTTAATGGTTTACGCGATCATTTCGCCCTCCATCCCGTTTCCGTTGCAACGAAATGCTTTACTCAAACAAAGTTTACCAAAGCAAAGAGCCCAGTGTGACTAACAACTACGAGATAAGAATTTAACGCGTTCGTGGTGCTAGTTTATGTCTCTTTAAAGTTTTGATACCCTCTTCTCAATTTTAAGAGCTTCCCCCGCACTCCAGTCTGCAGTATCTTGCTTGAAAAAGCTTAGCTACTTTCTCTGAGCCAATGTTTGAGCAAACCTCGCCATTGCTCGCAAATATCAAACAATCGATGTTGATAGGATCAACTCAATGCATCGCTGAGTCACGATAGATGGGTGTCGCAACGTTTTTCATCTTGTAATTAGAAGAGTTCAATCCATTGTTTCGATTTGAACAATGCCTACATTTGTTAGACAACACATATACATGACTATTATAGCTCCTGAAAACAGAAGGATCCGAATCTTGGGAAATCATGTTTTCTCTACTCTATCACAATTCTTTCAATGTAGAACTTGTTCAGAGTTGAGATTCTCAAAATTATTGACGTCCTCTTCATAATTCTTGTCAAAAGCAGCTTCAATCCAAGGACCTTTCCTCACCTCCTCACCATGTCATTTTCCTCTTGGCATCCATGAACATTCCGTCTTTAAGTTTTATTTTTCGTTACCTTTTTTAGATTCCTCGTTGAGTTTCTGTTGCTTGCTATGAGGTGAAGGTATGCAGCTGAAGTGTCTTTGCTACAATAACAAATTACACATCTTCTCGATTTTTCATCTTTGCTGCAGAAGTCTTACACTTCAAAACTCGCTCCTTTAAGGACGTTTTCCCACCCAAAAAGTCTCAAAAAAGTTTCTTACTTGCTGCTCTCGATAGTTTCTCACAGGAAGTAAAATCTTTTGATGGGAAAATCCTCGATTCGTTTATACTCTGTTATCAATACTCAATGGCACAAATGCCAAGCAACATGAACTTCTTTCTGTTTTAGAGGAAATTAGAGTATCTAAGGCACTCGGAGATTTTTTTTTGGAAAAATCGGAATTGGAATGAGGGAGAAACCGAGTAGTCGATACCGTTGAAATGATTTGAGATCAAAATTTTTTCAATTTTTACTTCCCGTTGTAATTGCTTGAAAATCGACTAATACGAACGTGTTATGCATGCGGTATTGCTGCCGTAATGGGGCAGGATGTAAGTGATTATCATCTTTCTGGAATTGTTGCCGAGCTATAATTGAAGCAAAGAATGAGAACTTCAATGTTTCATACGTTATGATTGCGCAGAGGGCTTTTTACATGTCAGAAATCAATTGTCAAAAGTTTTCAAAAGTATTGGTAAGCATTGTGGAAAGATTTGAGTGGCTATCACCGCGTTCCTTTCCTTTTCAAAATTACAGTTATAAACTAAAAATTGGTGAAAACTCTCCTAAGAGTCTATGTGTAGGGAGTGGCTAACGTTTCGTTCTTTGAAACGAAATTTCTGTCCCATCCACCCTCTCACTGAAAAAAAATGCTTCGGGGTTTGACTGATATATAGGTATAAATACAGTAAACGGATTACTAATGTATCGGCAAGAAAATCTAGACGAATTTGTGTCCTTTATTTACTGCGGCGACTTTTTTTGACAAATCGATGTGTAATCTGCATGCTTTGAAAGTATGTTAATGTAGATGGTCATAGCATTATATATTCCTCGTTTATATTAATGTTTTTGAACTTTAGTGCACACCAATAGCCCGGTTTTGATCAGATTCATAAGTGCATGATCTTTTCCAGGTTATCATTGTTTTTATTGGGAAGTGATTTCGCAAGTGCAATCTCTGTGGACTTTTTAGTGATTCTTCTCAATGAACTTGACTGACACGCCATACATTAGTGAATGGTTTCAAGGTAAGTTGACTCTTGCAAGTCAAAATTTATTACCCTAGCATGTTATTTATAGGTCTTCCCGGTGTCTACCTCGCTTTCATTGGTGCTTGTTGTTGTATATTCGTAGGAATCTGCGCTGCTACAGTTGTACTAGTGTGGAGAGTACATTATTTTGTACCAAATGAATATGTACAAGCTGATCTGTATTTCATCATATTCATCCCATTTGTGAGTTCTCAGGAATTCCGTTATGGTGCCAATAATTGTTATTTTCCATCTATCGTATAATATGGTGAACAAAAGAATGTTTTGATTTAGATTGTTTCTGGAATGTGCCTTCTCGGCAACATTATACCTCGAGCAGCTCCAATAACTTACGCTCTGGGATTAGTGTGAGTTCACTATATACGCTCGTTATTGCTCATCACGATGACCAAGATGAAAACTGCGCTGCATGACCATTTTTTATCTGAAATGCATTCTAGGACCATTTTTAGCTCAGAGTAGTCTGTCTGTAACATAAACCACTGATAATCCTGAAGATACAAAATTGGGTTTGTTTTTGGGCAAAATAAAACATTTTGGTGCGTTAAAGTTGGAAATGATGTAATACCGCAGGTGATACTATCTTTGAAGTAGTTTCCGTAAAATAAGCTTTTGAAGTCTATGATTATTCATGATAGCAATTGCGGATTTCTATAGTGTATCTACTATCTTATGTTTCTGACTCTAAGCATTAAATGGCGGCAATTTTGAATCGCTAAAGAAGATTGGGCTCAATTCAAGCGCTCGAATTCTCGCAAAAAATTGTTAGGTAAACTCTAAAACCCAGTCATGCAGAAAACACATGAAGTTTAAGAAAAAAAGAAAGTTTACATCTATGCTTTTGTCTCACACCAGACCCGGTAGTTGTCTTTCTAATGTTTTTTTCCGAACAAAACGTTTCTTAGCTTCTAAATTTTAGGTTCCTCATGTTATGTCTGCACGTCACAATACTAATCATTACCCGCCTCTTCGGTACCAGAAATGGTATGGCGAAATGGATGATGGAACATGATAAGGTTATTTTTTATTTTTGAAATCCTCACAAATGCATTAAAAGTCCATTCTAGATACTTCACTTTGACGTCAGACCGTACTGCTGTTGCTGTCATTGTTTGCCGGGGATGTCGCCGACACCGTAAGTGAATTCTCTCCTTGCTGAGAATTTCAAAAAAAATAATGAGAAAAATCTGTTGCAGGATAAAAGTCCGGCGATTAACCTACTTTGTCAGGCAATCCCCAATCGTGAGGGTCATCCTTCAAGTTGCCATTGTTATTCTGGGAGTTGAAGGCATAGCGGATAAATCTGCGTGAGAATTATTCTATACTACTGTGTATTCCTCCATAAGAGTCTAATTTTCCCTGAATGTGATGCGCCGATTTTCAATATTCAATCAAATCCGATTTGTTCCTTCATCATGAGGCTTTATTTCCGTCCAGTACAAATCCCAAACGATTTCATAATTTATTCACATATGGGGAAATTATCTTCGAGTTGATTCAAGATGATGTCAATCAAACCCCCAATTGCTAAAAAAAGAGGTGTGGCGGCAGCCAAAAACTTGCTTGCACGGCGAGAAAAAATTCAATACTATCTTAAATATTTACTAGTACACATAAGTCACTTGCACATTTTTATAACGCATGTGGGTATCTCTTAGAGGGGGGGGCGCTCGTTACTTGCGGATGACAATTAAAACTTGCCGCGACGCGGCTTACATAAACCACCCAGAGAGCAGTAAGGCAGGAAAGTCGTTTATATTGGCTGGCTAAAAAATAATTTCGTTTTGGCGTGAAAACCTTCATAAAAATTCTCCTTGTTGTCCTTTATCCATGATATTCTGTGGATAAGTAGTTCAAAGCTTCTTCTATCACATATCAACTATTCAGGATTCTAAATTATCAGTAACGGAAAGTATGCTCTAACATGGCTAAAATTCCGAAAGCTCAAATCTGCAACTTCAAAGCTTTGTTTTTATGCACTAGTGGATGTAGAGAACAGCAGTTGGTGCAGACAAGTTTTTCCTACTTAGCGACTATCAATAAAAATTGTGATCTGCCGTTTCAAGTAATTTAACTCAAAAAACCAAATTTTCTCATATTTGCGATGAGAAAAATCGAATTTCTCACTTCTTTGTGGATTTCTTTCATTGCAAAATGACTTCTACTCAAACAGATTTTATGTCGCAATTCTTCTTGAAGTGGTCTTTCCAGCCGTACCGAATACTGGCCAGAAAATTGTCTGCAGCATCTGTAGGGGCCGCAGAACCAACCGAAATTATTTATTAACTAACCTAATATCCATGCATCTCAGATTCCATTATCCTAGATTTTGCTTCTTGTATCGTTAATCTTGGTAAATTTTCCTTTTTATTCAAAAATAGCATAATTCTAAGAAGCTGCTTTGTTCTTGCGCAAGTCTTGTGGTCAAACTTCGAGTAAGTAGCAAAAATTAATACAAAGATAGTTTGTAACCACAACTAAGGACGAAAATTCTTGCACTGTGAGTTATGGCCAAGTTCCACTCACTAGCTTGTCGCGCGCGGCGCCTGCGTTATTGACACTCACAAGTAACGATGCGCATCCTCTTTTCAATACTTCGCAATCTACTGACCAGGGGGGATTACTGGTATCTACTCGCATGACGTTTTAGTGGAAAACTAACATGTTGTGGGTAAGCAGAAAATCTTATCGGGCAGATTTGTCTGTCTAGAAATGTTGAGCATAAGGATAAGAGCTGGTCCTGCCTTCAATAAATGACTTTTAGTTTGGAAGTGAAATACATGGGCACCTAGGCATTTAACGCTGAACAAATCAATCCGCACTTTGCTAAATTCATATCCGAAGAGTTATGGGCTTTATAGAAAATATCAAATAATGTAAAACAATCATCAAAAACATAGCTATTTATAATTGTAAACGTGTCGCAAAAGTCTAACTCTAAAAATCTTGGTTTTAGCAGAGAAAGAAGAACTTTGATAAGATTTCAGCCAGCTCCTATATACATTTTGTTTCGCTGGGTCACCTCCACGCTACAAAATCTTTTCCTTGTTAGTACTGACTAATTACTTTTTAGAAATTCAAAAAAGGCGATTAATAAATCAAAACGCCATCACGTTTTGAAATCGCAACATTCATTACGTTTCAGTGTTTTGCAAATCCTCAACGGGTTGGGAGTGGCATCTACGCTAATCGCTGTGTTCGTTTGTCATGTTATCGTGACAGCTACAAAGGTACTTGACCACAAAAAAACTTTTCGTCATCATGATCAAATATTTGCAGGAAGTGTTGATGCCATTCAACATGTATGTGATATTTCGATGCGTTGACATCACGCAAATGCTATACACATTCCAAAAATTCGTTCTGGACCTGATAGCTAAGAACGGTGGAATGGGTGGATTGCCGATGGCATCACCGCCTATGTTGGCGCGGTGTAAGTTACCAAGGGTGTATTTAGAGCAAGCTTAGTAATATTTTTTACAGTTTGGCATAATGTGGCAATGACGTTCGAGGTCGCTTTGGTATGTGTAGTTATGTTGCGAAGCATACGACCGGGAAAAAGCGACTTCTTCATGGAACCAACCGAAACCCGCGGAGTCCGACAGCCTATGCCTCTTGCTGATCTCTAATCGTAATCTCTCTCTATGACTGGTTCTGCTATAGGTTGTACAATTTTTTTTGTCTAACAAGGAATGGATACTTGTTGAAGTGGCGTTTCCATACGAAATGCGTAATGTCATAGAGCATGGAATGCTGAGTTCAAATCTACTTTCGATATCTGCGAAGCGCTTTTGGGAGGGGAGTTATGGAAATTTTTTGATGCAAAAATTTGAAAGTGCAGCTACAATAAAATTTCTCAGAACCTTAGCCCGTAAGCTCAAATGGGGCCCTAATTGCTACCAGCGCCATTGATGGAATAAAGACCTTCAATCTAACAATCTCTTGCTAGTCAATACTCCTTTCAAGCGTCGGGAAGACCTCAACTCTTTTATTTTAGCCAAATCATTAAATTCGTACCTCAAAAAAATCCCCAGAACTTCCCTCCCAGAAGCGCTTTGCAGATGCCGAAAGCGGATTTGGAATGGCTTGCTCTATAAGACAGTGTACATCCCATATGGAAATGCCACTTTGACCAAGTATCTTTCCCTAGTGAGTTGTCTAATTTCTCAAAATTTTGTGCAATTTTCATATATCGGGTTGTTTTTTCAACGTGTTGTAACCATAATATCGTTCATGCCATTAATGTGCTTTGAACTTTTCGCAGTAGTTACATTTTAATTTCTTGTGACTTCTTCACCGTAAATGCCGTAAAATCAATGATTATGTGAGAAGTATGGAGAATTTGAATGGATTTGAGAGTCGAATGACAACTGCTTCCCAAGTACTTTTCAATCTTCACTTGTAACCTGGTGCATAAATATCTTCGGAAATATAAATATCCATAAATATCCACCACAATGCTTAGCGCATCGTGGTGGATCAACTTTACCCACTGAATGTACTCTTCTGGTACCATGTGTCTTCGCAAAGGTCCACCATATGACTTCATAAGGCACCTTATCGAAGCACCTTTCTCAGGTCCAGGAAGGCTGCTTACAACCATAGATGCGATAGGTGGAGAAATTTCTCTGACCCCCTTCACTTTAGGGCCGGCATCTGGCTGACCCTTTTCACCTGAGGTTGAGACTAATCAAGGCAAACAGCTATTACAACGGAACTTTTTGTTTAGAAAGGAAACGCCAGCTGCTCTTCTTCTCGACATCAAGACTGCAAGAGAGTATCGAATCAACAACGTTTCGTTAAAAAACGCATGCTTGAGACCTTCTGCGCGCTCAAAGGGCGTTGATAACGAAAAGTAATCAAAAAGTAGAAGGTGATTTTTTTTGAATAATCAACATTGTATCAATGAATACATACTTTGCAAAAAAGAGTTGAGCAAGAGTAGAAAAATCTGAACCTAGCGATGGATGCATGTTTACTGACAAGAAATCATACCGTATCTCTTTTCACTAGAGAGAATAATAAAAACAAAACAACAGTTAGATTACTCGTTTTTCATGCTTTAGATTCATATATAAAAGTTCGAAAAAGACCTTCTTGGTTTGAAAATATAATTATCCAAAATTGGCTGATATTGTGGCCAGATAAAACTGCTCGTATCTCGCTTCACAGAGAAGTTAGGAAAAAAGAGACGGTTTACGTCGATTCCTCGTGTTCTTAGCTATCGAATGGTATATAAGATGTTGGTGCACAGAGCTTTCCCAGTCCAAAAAAGTCTTGCTCCGGCAACCCATAGAAAGCCGGAGCGGGGTGGAGCAAGTTACTATTGAATATCTCCACCTCATTTTTGAGAAACCACAAGTTTTTTCACCCGACAACCTGTACACCATTAAAAAGCCCACAAAAAAAGGATTCGACGTAGACCGTTTCTTTTTCTCTAGCACCCCTCTACTTAGAGTTACACGGGATTTTAGCCAAAAAGATGTGTGTTTTTGTCGAGAAATTTCTGCGTGAAGAATGGATAAAGGTGCCTAATTTTTTAACAGCATCACAAAGCAAGACCTTGCCAGTAAACATAGACCGTCTCTTTTTTTTAATCTTTGTTCTTTCTTTCAAAAATAAATTACAAAATAATTACACAAAATTAGCTGGTGAGTCCAGCTAATTTAGCGCCTCCACAAAATTTTTAAAAACTGGCAAGTTTTTTCGCTCTATGTACCATTCGAAAGCTCAGGAAAGGGGATTCGACGTTGACCGTCGAATTCTTTCTAGCCGCCCTTTACCGAGAGATACACTGCATTTTATCTGAAATCATGTTCATTTTCAACAGCAGATTTCTGCCAAACGAAGACCTAATCATTGCTGGTTATCTATCTGCAGCAAGTCTTCATTAGCAAACGTAGACCGTCGACTTTCTCGTAGCATTCTTTTGGAGAGCAGAAAGTGAGGACACAAAATTAGTTGATACATGAAGTACTTAAAATCCCTCATATCTCGCGGCACAAAAGACCTAGAAAAAAGCCGACGGTCTATGTCTTCTATATGACCTCAGCTTTCGAATGGTATGTAACTTGTTGGGGCATTTTGCATTCGGGGCTCACTTACCCCCTTCACCTTACAAGGATGGGAGTAGCAGAGACTCCCTTCACCTGAAGAGGGCCCGGCTCCCCCTATCGCACCTATGCTTACAACTCTTTCTGCATCTCTCTATATATAAACTAAGTAAGGCCTTCTTAAGTCGATAAAGGTAAGACAACACAACGGCATCCTATGAGATAATTCAGTGAGCCTTGAGACCGTGCGTATGTAGCCTACTGTACTGTATCTCTCTTGAGAACCTGCATGCTCGCGCGGTTGTCTTTCATTTAACTCTTCCAGTCCTCTGAGAATGGCTCGTGAAGAGTTTGTAAACAAGGAACAACAGGTGGACAGGCCAAAAGTTGTTGTTGGATCTACTGACTTGGTACATTGCCTTCCGTCAGGTGTTCTATAAAAAATCTTGCCAAAAACTATCGTGGTCGTGTGACCTTCTATTGAATTCTAGAGCGGGTGTAGGCCGAATCGCACGACCGTTATACTGGGCAGTTCTGTACAAAGCCCGTCCGCGCGGCACATTCCTTCTGCCTAAGCGAAGGAGGAGGAGGAAAGTGACGCGTGGCGAAGTTTTTAGTACGCAAGGTGGATACTGGGCGCGTTTGCGCGAAAGGGCCATTTCCCTCGGAAAGCAGTTGTTCCGTCAGAGCAGCGAAGTACGGTCATTTTGGTGTAATTAAAATTGATGACGCTTTGACGGGTGTTACGTATACTTTTTCCAACCTTCATGGCGTTACTGCTCTTCTCTATCTTTATCTTCTTTGATCGCTTTTCTACACCATTTCGCAAGCTCAAACGTCATTGGTAGTTGCCTGTGAGACGTGCTTATCCAGTTCGGCGTATCAGCTCCAGAGTCTCAATGGACGTCTTTTTGTAATATTTTTTGATTCGGAGAATAGGGACTGCATAATTTGGTCCCCAATAAATGCACTCGGCAACTCTGATCAAGCGGCCTGTACATAATTCATATCAAAAGCATACAGGCACAGGTAAGTATTCAGTGTAGTGGCCTGGCCTGAGATAGTAAAGGTAAGCACTATCACTATCAGCTCTGTAAGGTCTTGAATAGCTTGTTCACAATAGCAGTTTGAATTTACGGGTCTCTATCCGGAAGGTACAGTGTAATTCCTTATCGATGTTTTGTCGTAATTAAATGAGCAATCTTCATTCAGTGCTTTCGAGTGATCTCCAGTCGTGACTTGATTTGGTACTTTTCTGTTATCCGGACCCATTTTTGCAAAGAAGAATCTTACTCACAAGGGAACGATCCCAACTTAAGGTGGCGAATTGGAATAAACCGCATACCATTAGATCCGTCTTGATGAGCTGATTCCAAATCTACCCTCCATATCTGCGACAACGTTATCTGGAAAAAGTTATGAAAGGTTAAAAATGTGAAGTAACGGGGGTTTTGGTGCATAATTTGCTTTAAAATCCAACTTGGAAGTGCACGACTAGCATCATATTGAGTGTACTGATCTCACAGAATGCTCACATTCAAAAGAAACGCAAATAAATGTTTTTGACCAGCTAAAAAGCAACTAAAGTTTTTTGGTAGAAGCTATGAGCAATGAAAAGTCCAAATTTGGCAAATATACAGCGCAATACCCCCAAAATTAGTTGTTTAAAAACACTTATTTGTGTTTCTTTAGAGTGTGAGCATTCCTTGAAAACAGTACACTCAATATGATGCTGGTCGTGCACTTCCAAGTTGGATTTTAAAGCAAATTATGCATCAAAACCCCCGTTACTTCACATTTTTAACCTTTCATAACTTCTTCCAGATAACGTTGTCGCAGATATGGAGGGTAGATTTGGAATCAGCTCATCAAGACGCATCTAATGGTATGCGGTTCATTCCAATTCGCCACCTTAAGTTGGGATCGTTCCCTTGTCAGACAATCGGTGCCGTAGCTCCGGAGGACAGCCGAAATCTGGCAGAGCCGCGGAGGACCCAATTGACCATTGGAAGCGGGGCGAGGGGGGCGGTCCCTTTCTGTGAGGTCACGGTGACGTCACAAGAAGGCAGATGGGACCCCTCCGGCGGGCTTGCAAATCTCTGCTCCGGAGGTACGCCAGATTTGGGAGAGCCTCGGAGCACAGATTTGCGCTCCGGAGGTACGCCAGATTTGGGACACCTCCGGAGCACAAAATGGGAAGGCTCCGGAGCAGAAATTGGGAGGACTACGGAGAATAAATGGGAGGTCTCCGGAGCATAAAACGGGAGGTCTCCGGAACATAGAATGGGAGGGCTCCGGAGCACAAATTGGGAGGACTACGGAGCATAAATGGGAGGTCTCTGGAGCACGAGTGGCAATCCCCCGCTGGGGAAACCCCGCGGCTCTGCCATTTCTGCTCCGGAGGTATGCCGTCGACTGTCTGAGTTACTTCTTTCCTTGTGCCATTTGGTCCGATCTTCACAGAGAGGAGTGTCAACCTTCTGCCACGTGTCAAAAAAATTTTGACATGTCATCTACACGTTTAACAGGTTTCACCAAGAGCTGGTGTTGCCCTACCTAACCTGGCGTAAGTTCATATCTGTTTTCAGCCAATAACGACCCATTTTGATTGTACAAAAAAAACATTATTATGATAATAACTTCATCCTGTTTCAACAAACAGATTTTACTTGCACAGAATAGAAAAATGCGCTGGGATTCCATCATCTACGCGGCGAAACAAGCAGCAGCGAGGTACTTGAAGCCATCATTTATGGACTTTCCTTACTCAGTTCGTATGGCGGGAAGAGTTTGAAGAGAAAGACATTTTCGAATCATTGCTGAAAGCAATCAAAATGTTCTAGTATAAGTTCTAGATTGTTTTGCTTTATGGAAAACAGTAAAGCTTTTAGGTGATCACAAATAAACTTTTACCTCACCGGAAATGATTTCGAGAAAAAAACATTTTAAAATGGACTAAAACGTGTCAATTTTTTCGTGACACGTAGCGAAGAGGCAGTTCTCACAGAATCTATGAAAAACTGGTCTTTGACTAAAGACGGCTAAAGACGGATTTTATGAGAGCCTTGCGAAAAATGGGTCCGGATAACGGAAAAGTGGCCTTGATGTTCATGTACTGTTTCTTTTGAGTCACTGTTGGATGTATCTCTGTGAAGTAGGTAGTAGTAGTCTTATCGTTTGCTGATGACCAAATATCAGAAGTTTATCTTTATCTTAGCCATAACATATGCATTAATAGGGGTTGGGCATTCGGCCCTTGAGCGTTTTACAAAGTAGTTTTCTCGAAGAATTCACTGTAAAATGTGCGACCAGTAGCGCGCGGAGGAAAATAAATGAGTCAAATTCGCGTTCCTAGAATGTTGAAGATCAATTAAATCTTTAGCAAAGCTCATTGTGAAGCAGAGAGGTTGGTTGCATGTACTGGATGCGCAAGATAGATTCTATCGCCTGGGAAATCGCAACATTGGAAGAGCCTTTACTGTGCGCAAAAAACGTCATGTTGAACCGTAGGGTACGCTGTGTGCTAAACAAGATCATTTAAGATAATTTCCAAGAATTCATTGTTGAGTCATCACAGCAACAGGCGAAACGCAATGGGAATGAGTGAACAAAAACATTGCACAAGATGACATCGAGAAAGGCTAGATAGCAAAGGCTCCTATTTTCCTATCTGTAAAAAGTTAGCATCTAAGAATTCAAGCATTTACAGACTCGAAAGACTGATTTCGAGTAACATCTCCAAGGCGCATATTGCACAAGTGGCTCAAATACAACTTTGAAAATGTTTTCCTTTACAGCTTCTTCTATGCGAAATAATAGGCGAATCATACCCTGGTTCATAGTTGTTTCTATGAGAACCGTGATTTCGTGATGGAGGTACTGAAAACTGCACTATAATGAATAATGCTATTGATTTTTGCTTTCACTTTTGAAAAAAAAACACAGTCAAGAATTAAGAAGCAGAGAGTATTTTAGAGCAGAAGTATTTGTGGAAAAAGGTACAAGGGAAAATTTTTGCAAATAAATGAAATACAGTTCATGAGTATGTGCTACTTCTGCATTTTTTTATTTTGGATCAAACCAATTACTCAGTTTTGACGTTTTTGGCTATTTCCGAGAGTCAAGTTTTCTGCAGCATCGTTTGTTGCTTGGATTGAAAAGTTTGCGGTTTTCGCGCGGCAGTTCAACATTATGCACTGAAAGAACAAAAATTTAACACACGTCCATATTCGGCAGCATTTTTAGAATCCTCAAGAGCTTTCTCTTGTTTTTCCAATTACGCAATCCATTTCTTGCCAGATGATTCAAACCAAGCACAGTGGCATTACCAATCACTTTGATCTAAATTAAAACACTTGAAATTAGTCACGCTTTGAAAGTCTGGACCAACGCTTGTCTTGTCTAAACAACTGTTGAGCCCGTAGTCGCTTTCAAGCCAAGCCTGTATGCTTCCAACTAACTTCTAAAAAATTTTTCTTTAAATCACCTGGAATCTTGAACAATCAGCTACCTCTTGCACTTCGCTTCATGCTCTTGCCGCTGATATATTTGAACGATCTATCATACATGTGCAAAAGTTCTCAGAAATGTAAGCATCAAAACAAGTTCTGCAAAAAATCCCCTTTGACAGGTAATACCTCAAATCAGCTTTGGCGGAAATACAAGGGCAGGCATTATTCCACGATATCTTACCTATTAGCAGGTATTTCATCGAAAAGACTAATACCGCGGCCATACGTATTAGATGCGGTGTTAGATCTCCTGCTGCTTCCAAAGCTCATCAATACAAAATCCTTCAGAGTTTGATGGATATCAAAATTGCTGAAAGAAAACAGATTTATGCTAAAATTTTGGTACTTTTCCTCATTCAAACACATTTTTTCAAGAAAAATTTTTTTGACTTTTTTACCATGCAAAAATGTTTATGGATCCAGAGGTAGTGTCAAATTGCCACGTGTCAAAAAAATTTGTCGTCTTATCTACCCTGTTTGTCACATTTTGCTTATACGTTTTTGAAAATTACCTGTACACGAATAATTTTACAGCAAGTTTACATTGACTTTGTTTGACTGCAAAAAAGACGCTAATAATCAAATTTTAATCATCATCAAATTTTGCATGTAAACTCCATAAAATTGTATAATGAATATAATAATTTAATAAATTTGTGTAATAGCGACCAACCTCGTCAGCTTCCATTTGTTTTTCAAAAAATTCGCATACTCTCTCGGATGATATTGTTTGAAATCTGGTGGTAAACGGATTGCCATTAGTGGCATACGCTCTTCGATCCTGCCATTGTAGGAGAACTGTACCAGTCCGATCCGGTTCCCATGATCACCCATTATGACAGTAACTCCTTTATCCAATGCTCCTGCAGAGATGAATTTTAAGCCTATGCGATATCAGTTGGCACAGGGCCCGGCACGAGATCGGCAAATGACAAGCTGGAAATCGTTTTGGGGCCAAAAAGCAAAGGGGTAATCGTTTTTATGGGGTCCGGGGCGGAGCCCCGGAAAAAAATTGGTAGTTCATGCTCGCTACTTATCTTGACATGTTATGTGCCTCAACAGGCGAACACTGGACACTGCAGTTCGCGCGCGTCAAACCGCGCCGTCGCTAATTGCCGCACGCGCGACGTCGCCCAAGCGATGCTATTTGTAACAGCATGCATGACTAGTTCTCAATGTATGTGTAACGATATGGCACCAAATTTTGTATGCGAACGGAGAGAGGCTAGTGGAAACATAGTATGAAAAATTATGAAAAACTTATGTGAACGGAACGAGTAATTAGCATTTTTTCCGAGAATTTCGCAAAACTGGTAAATGAAGATGTGAATTCAAACGGCTCGCTTGGAATGCGCAGATGAACGATATGGTATGAAACTTGGTGAGTACATGCACACGGACTTGCAGGGCTTAACTGAGGAGTTTCATTGAAAAATTATGTGAATGAAGGTTGTGGCAAACTTTTTTCTGAAAATTTTGCGCTACCAAAGAAATGGAAAAATGGCTCGTTTGCAACGCAGAGGTAACGAAATCGCGCGGGATTCGGTGTGTATAGGCGCAATAGGACTAAGTAATAAAGTAGGAATTATTATGAAAAACTTATGTGAATGAAGAGCGTGCTTAACTAATTCCCACCTGAGGTCGGCAAAACTCTCAATTCACATAATTTTTTCAAAATTTTCACATAAATCTGTTGTACACCTAAAGTTTACTACGTGGTGAAATTTTGGTTCCGAAAGTTCTCCTCTTGATCTTGTTAGAGCCAAAATCGCATTAGCAGTCTAGCTTTCTAAGATGGAAAGCGCGCTCCAGTCAATCGATACGCGCGGGAGCGGCGTCTCTCATTCCTATGACTGCGTTTCTTTGATATTTTTTTTTCTTCCTGTTTTCTATCTTGATACAGCTGAGGAGTAATTTGAGGAATTTGAGCAATTTGGACGCTTTTGAGCGCTTTTAGGCGAAGTATGGCCGGTAATCTCGTCGCACAAGCACAAAACGTCATTTTTGGGCTCAAGGGGGTATTCGTAAAATTTATTGGGATCAAAGGGGAATTCGTTTTGGAAAACCCCGTTTGCCCATCTCGTGCCGGGCCCTAGTTGGCATACCCTTACCCGTACGATAAAGATTATCAAGACTTGATGAAACCTGTTCGTCGAGGAGCTCAAGAGGAAATCCTCTTTCATGAGAAAGGCTAAAGAGTGAGTGCAATTACAGAACTTCAAAAAATGTCACTCACGTTGTGACGAATGTAAAGCCAAAGTGGCACAAGTCTTTGTACTTATTCGCGAAGCGTCGTCAAAGGTCAACGTATCTGCGTTGATACTGGTCGCCATCTTTGCATGGAGAATAGGACCAATTCTAAACAACCTGCTAACTGGCAGCTTTTCCCACTCAAGATAATACTTATGCTTTGTTCTACTTGGTCGCACAAACTGCAAGAGCATATGGCATTTTTTGTATTAGATTTTTTGGCGTCTGATTAAATTTTGGAGACTATGATGTTTGACCAGTTTGCAAGATGCACCTCAACTTTTGACCGTCTAGAACATACTTTCAATGAAATTGATTGCCTCATCTCAAAGCAGAAAGAGGCACGGTTAATGACGAAGTAATTTCAAGGCAACGAAAGTGTGAACCTAACAAAAGTCTGAGTGAGGGTCCTGCACGAGTCATTCTATTCTGAAAACAAAGTCCCGCAACTTTCGAAAATTTTGCAAAGTTCCCTCTGACCCTTATCGAAAACCTAAGGATTGAGAAGTAGATTAAAACAGAACAGAGTTACTAATTTGAAAGGAAAAACGCGAATTAAGAATGAAAATTCAAAGCGGAGCTGAATACTACACAAGCACAAGAATTTGGCATCAAAACGCAACATCTTTTTACAAAAAGCAAAGGAATGGCAACGATTTGAAAATGTCTTCGTGCTTAGGGACAGATTCTTGACCGGAGAGTCCGCCCATGATAAAAAAAATTCGTAAACTCATGTGAAGTTACAAAAATGTATGCTCCATACCTCTCAGATAGCACGGTGGTCATCCGGAAACGGACACATAAATTCTAACTTTTCGTACAAGTATTCCGCAAATCTTATATATAATGAAGCTAAATGTTTGTTTGTTTGTTTGTCTGTGTGTGTTGTGTGTGTGTGTGTATGTATGTATTGTCCGTCGGTCTGTATGTATGTATGTATGTATGTATGTATGTATGTATGTATGTATGTATGTATGTATGTATGTATGTCTGTACGTATGTTCCAAATAGAAAATTTTATTTGTGAATCGATCCGTACCAAACTTGATACACATACAGGTCGGGGCTTTGGCAGAAATGGAATACGAGTATTGCTGGTAACCAAGAGTAATTGGGAAAACTTATAGATTCAGCAAAAACCTATAGATACATAACGATGTGTTACACATTTTAGAAGAACCCCCATCGTATTCGAACATCTTTGCAGGAAATTTATTACTATGAACTTATTATACAAAGAACTAATATAAGTGTTACCGAAACCAGCTTTTTTGGATCTAACACGAGTATTAGATAGCAACGTATCATATAAGCCTCTAACAAAATAGATGCATACAACTTTGAGCTGAGATATCCAGTCTGGCATTTCAACGTTCCCATATAACCAGTGCTTTTGAAATAGAAACACTTAGAAGTTACAGAAACTGTTTTGATTACACAAATTTCCAAGACAGACTCTTGTAATCGAGATTTGTAAGAAAAATGCTTGAGAAAGAAGAATATTAATCAGAACTTTTTATCATACCCTAACAGATAATCCTTGCATACTGCATAAATTTGGTTTGGCGTAGCCCTTCGTATACCATTGGTCTACGAAATAAGGGAACCGATCGAACCAGTTTACGCAGTATGCAAGGATTATCTCAAAAAATATGACATGAAGTTCTGAACTCTGGATATTTCGGATGAACTCCGGATAAATATTACGGCGCAAGGTCGCCAATTATACTAGTGATTGCAAGTTTTAAGCCCAACACAAACTTTTGAAATTAGCCAATACGCTAGCAGCCGCTCACGTTTAAACGAATAGAGGGAAAAACTCATAGTGTTTTACCTTTTAAAAAACTTAACCTTAAGTTTTGAGCATTCTCAATCAAGTTAACCAGCATAGCAATATTTGATCTTAAACGTAACGCAACTGTATCTACGCGTTAGAATAAATAGGTTGCATTCAAACTCGGCATACAATAACAGTATAGGTGTGAAATCTCAGTCGCGCATTCTAACCAAAATCTTACATTTTCTACATTTTCAGTAATCAATAATCTCTCGTCTTTAATCATCTCTTTCAATCTCTATAGAGAGACACACAAAACTTTTTCGGTAATCAAGCCACTTTTGACAATTTTTGCAGCTTTTTTGGGAACTACTAAAGATCGGCAGCAAAAAAGCTACTCCATGGTTTAGTTCTAAGCCCCGAAACCGGTGAGTGAAAAGTGACATCAAGTTCGAATTTATGTTTGAGGACGTGATCTTTTTCTTTTTTATGTTCCCTTTTAGCTTTACATGAGGTGTTCTTGTTATGTTATTGTCCTGCTTCTGATTTATTTCTAACTTCAGCGAACGGATTACTTTCGCATACAAATACATCTGTCTGATTTATGTGAATAATATCGATGCTTGTTGCAGGCTGCGTAGCAGGCAGCAAAATCATCTTGAATTATATGTGGAAGTGTAGCTTTGGTGTTTATTGTAAACTGCGTAAAAAATCTAATCATAGCATTCTACTTCTTGATACTTATCCTATGATCCGCTTTTATGTATAGGCACACATCATAGCATTAGCCATCCACTTCAACCCCTTCAACCACCTTATTTGCTTTGCCGCGTTTTGTTTGAAATGATTGAAGTGGATATGGCGTGCTACAAAAATGCAAGTGCGTACTTTGAGAACAGCAACGTGAGAAATGCTACCTTGTATGCAGCTAGATAGTAGGCGCGATAGAAATGATCCGCAGGTGGTGATGTGAATTCAGGAAGAAAATCACGTGCCGGATAGTAGAAAACCCCAAACATGCTTTTGGAAATATCTTCGTTGAGCACGGCAACCATATTCTGAATGTCGAGGTTAAATCAGCTTGTATCGAAGCGACTTCTGCTTGCAGAATAACCAAGAGCAGTTTTTTTTCATGTCAAAAGGTGCTATTTTATATAGTTGGAATCGAATATTTTCGAATAGTATTCGAGCTAGAAAAGTCGAATATTCAAAAAAGTGCATTTATTTGACTATTCGAATAGTTTAATAAAATTTCGTTTTGTTGTTTTTTCGAGTCGTCGAATGAGCAAATGTCCGAATAAAGTTCATTTTCATTTACTTGACTTGACTATTTGAATAATCAAATAAATGCACTTTTCTGAATTCGACTTGTCTAGTTAGAATAAACTCGAATACGAATAATCGAAAAGTAAATAATCGAAAAGTATTCGGTTCTAACTATACTACTTCGCATGTTCGCTAGCAAGCCTAGTACTTTGGTTTCTATCTTTTACAACGAATAAATAAATACTGTTGTTGAACATGTCTTTGCTGTGTGAATCTTTGACTTGCTCTAGTCAAGGAAGAAATCGTAGGGAAAAAGAAAAACAAACAAATTGAAAGTTTTTCAAAAGACTACGTCCAAGTCAAATGGCTACTCTTGTTGTTAGCTGTCATGGAACCGGCTCCTCTACAAACAAGTACTCTTATGTGCAATATAAACCCAGCCCTTCGTTCAGAAACTGTTCTCGTTTTCATGTATTGCATATATTTTAACATACGAAGTAAGACCATTATTCAGTAAGGTAATGAGCAGCATTACCACAAAGATAACGAGTCGGTAAATAGATAATACCCACGGCTCTCCATCGTTTTCCATAGAAAGGGAAGGTTGTCTGGATCAAGCTTCTGTTTGGTTGGCAGAATCCATTCGTTATTGATATCTTCGAAATCATTCAATATTGGCATCTCAAGAGCTTCGGGAAGATCTCCAGTAAGAATAGGCACTATATTAGGTTCCGAGTTGTCTCCAACCTAGATAACTCTTTTTGACCAATCCAAAAATTTTTGAAGTGCCTCTCCCTATTTTTTGAAGATTTCGTGATTATCTTTTTTGCGCCTTCTGCCAAACATGTTCTATGAACATGAAGCTCTCTATCCAACCGTTAGATATGGCTCGATGGGCCTAGTATAGCTTTGCTATGCCGTAGTCAACTTCTGGACAGCCATTAAAATCTCTTCACAATACCAAAGCAAAAAGTTTACTATTTTTCAGACCGGTTTATATACCATTCAAAAGCGTAAATCTTCATAATTCTGTAAATTTGGGAAAAGACCTTTTTTTGCTAAAAATGGATCTTTAATAGGACTGTAGTTAATACCAAGTTTTTTTTTTCATAAACCTGCTCAACCAATTCCTCTGACTAGCACGATTCAAATCGATTCTATAAAGAAAAGTGCGAAACATGCCTTGTTGTATCCATAGAACAGTTCAAATCCTAATCTATTCATTGTCTCCATACTACGTGGCAAATGCCGCATAAACATTGTGCGAGATGTTGAATCAAACCCAAGAATATCGATGGAGTAACGCTGAGCAAATTCTTGTTTTGTTTGCATGCGGAGTCTTCTACCATAATTATCGAAGGAAGGTAAGTCTTTCACTGTATACACCTAAATAAAAAAACTTTTATTTAACACATGCAAAATCACAAAAGGCAAACATTTCAAAACTTTATAAAGTTCATAATTGCTTTTTTGAAGCAAAAACAGCGTCAATGGCCCGTATCAGAGCCCGCACAAGGTGGGCGAATGGGGTTTTCCAAAACGAATTCCCCTCTGATCCCAGAATTTTTTTCATTACCCCTTGAGCCCAAAAACAACGCTTTGTGCTTGTGCAACGAAAGCACCGGCCACATTTCGCCTAAAAGCGCTCAAAAGCGCCCAAAAACGCTTAAATTCTCCTAATTATTCCTTACCTTTATCAAGAGAGCAAATAGGAAGAAGAATAAGCAAGAAGAATGATGAAGGACTGAAGAAGTGTCAAAGTAACGCAGTCATATTACAGATGCCGTTCCCGCATATCGATTGACTGAAGCGCGATTTTCTCCTAAGAAACGGCTGCTGATGCGATTTTGGGCTCTAACAAAGAAAAGAGGAGGAGTTTCGGAACCAAAATCTCAACATATACAGCACTGGCAGTGCCGCTTTTCAAAGCTGCGTTTTAAACGCAATAGAGCGCCGGAAGTGCCGCATCGCTATAACTTTCTTCAGGTTACCCCTATCGAGCTCTGGTTAAAATATTTGAGACAAGCGCTGTCTGATGCA